AAACTTGAGATTCAATTTCCTTTATCCCCTATTTTCCTAATACCATTTATTTAATAGTCTCTTTTCTCCCAGTAATATGTGTTGATGATATGTAACATTATCAAAAGGCCATTTATGCATAAGCATGAGTCTGTTTCTGGGTTCTCTTCTGTTCCCTTGTTTGGTTTGCCTATCCTGGGCCAACCCCACACTAGTTAGTAGATTTCTTCTTTTCCACTCCCTCTACTTTCCTTTCCCTAATATCACAATCTTTAGCCAAGTCCATTATATTTTCATCATGTAAATGAGATTTTGGTGGAAACTCATGGCTCTGCTGTGATTTTCCCATTTAAATCAATGGCTTGGGGCAAAACAGAAAACATGCAAGGAAATGAGTGTCTGGGTACAGGAACTTAGGAAAACACAAGCCCCTCCAAATCCAGTGAAATAATTATAAAGGGCTTCATGCTTCTATCATATTGGGGGGGTTGTCAAGGCAAATTTTAAATAAGCATCCAGGGCCTGAATAACTTCTATCACACTTGGGTTAACTGGATTTATTTTTTTTTTATTTTTCAAAGATTTTATTTATTTATTCATGAAAGACAGAGACAGAGAGAGAGAGAGGCAGAGGGAGAAGCAGGCTCTTAAGGAGCAGGGAGCCCGACGCGGGACTCGATCCCAGAACCCTGGGATCATGACCTGAGCCGAAGGCAGACCCTTAACCATCTGAGCCACCCAGGCACCCTGGGTTAACTGGATTTATAGAAATCTCCCTTTAGCTGCTTTGGATGGAAGTGTCTAACCTTCATAATCGGCATGTTGTCCCAACACTCTGATGTTTAACTCAACTTTATTTCACTATGAAGGACTCATTTTTCTTTTAATATTTTTATCGGCTATTATCTGCTCAGGTTAATGGTGAGCACATATATAGAAAAGTGGTACTTATCTTTGAGTAAAAAATAATATCAAGTGTATTTCATATATAGTTTTATGTGAGGAGAGGTGCTAAGTTCTTTAACACATCCTGCAAAAACCATCTCAAAAGTCACTTCTTCCATTAAGATTTTCCTGATTTCCTACTCCCCATTCCTCAAGACGTAAACAGTATTTTTTTTTCCGACCTCCCGTAATCCTTTATTTATTCCATCATTAAGACACTCTTGTTTTGGCTAGTAATATAGTTTTTTTACTGTTTATGTCTAATTAGTGCCCTTATTAGAATCTAAGTCCTTTGACAGCATCATCTAATTTCATTAACTATTGTATTCAGTATAGTGATGAGTTCAGTGTACTGCAAATATTCCCAAATTCTTAATAGTTAGGCATTCTTTCTTCTGTATTCCCATGTTGTATATATCACATATGTACATAGCATAGTAATTTATTCCTTTACTTCTCTCCTAATACACAGTAAACTCTTTGGAGAAAAATGCCAAATCTTGTGTATCTTGAGTTTCTAAGTTCCTGGGGATTTTAAATGCTCATGAATATATATGTTATGTGGAAATGCACTTAATATTTCTTGGATGAATGGATGAGTAAATGGCATAGTGAAAAAAGGAGAAGAGACTCGAGTTTTAAAACAAGTTCTGCCATTTGTGATGGGGACAAAGCATTCAAAGTCTAACTGCCCTCATTTGTAAACTAGGAAGAATTCACTTACTGCCAGTTTGGCCTCATTTAATGCACTTTGAAACTTTAGGGAATATATACTATTTAAGATCTGTGAAGGCAACAGGTTAGGGTCCTGAAAGAAATTCCTTATGAAATTCTTCCCTAAGCCATCATTACTTTTTTTTTTCATTTTCTATCAATCATGCCTTCATCACCCTTGCATTCTTTGTTACCACATAATTCTTACTGTATCCCTTTTCTCAATTCTGCTAATTGCTAAACCAAAAAAAAATCTTTGTTGCCCTCTGATACAATTATGGGATTCTTGCTGCATCTTTTGGGATGTTTGTACTACATCTGTGTGTGTATATGGGGTGAGGTGGGGTTGGTGGTTGAGGTCTGTGGGTGTGCAGTATAAATATAAAACTGAGGTATTCATTATAGACAGAGCATTCTAATCCCAGATTCTCACATCAGGAAAACTGGATATAAATTAGAATATTTTCCAAATACTTATAAAATAGAATATTAGAATATTTTACACTGCTTTCCTAATTTATCATTACAATCCTAACGTCTCATGCCAGTACGTTGAATAATACCTTTAAGAACTTGTTGAAAAGGATGTTTTAAGTAGCCATTGTCCCTTGGAAAAGTAAGGGATTAACTATTTAAATACCTTTGTTACATTTTACTGAATTCTCTCATGTAAAGCTAATTATTCTCTATGGAACACTTATTACAGTCACTACAGCACTTTCACTAAGATTTATATATAAATTCTAAAATATTTTAGCTTCCAGATTCAATAGCACTTTGTACACTTTAGTGGACTTCAGACTTGACACCTGATTCAGTAATTTTATAGATTCTGAGACGCTCATATTTTCCTCAAAAGATAGATCTAATTGTATTTATGACGTCAAGGCTTTGTACATTTTTTTCACCAGAGCCAATTTATTTTGCTTAGGTCCTGCCAAAGACCCCAATCAAAGGCGGGCATCTGTGTGCTTCCTTGTAAAATCCTGTTTTATCAAGAACCCTTCTCAGTCAGTTTAGCAAGGACCTACCCCCAGCCCCCAATCTGATCACTCTTCATATATGATCAGGTTCATCATCCTCCACCATTCTGCAGGTGATGTGTGATCACTCTGGCCTGTCTTCAGCAAGAATTCTTTTAGGTTGGTTTAGCTAAAATTTCCACTTACCCCTAATGTTACCTTGTAGTAATTTTCTACCCACTGACCTTCACCTTGCTCCTTGGCTAAAATTCCCACTTGCCCATGATGTAGCTGGAGTTCAGCCCAATCTCCTGCTCCCACTGCAAAATTCTATCACAGTGGTCCTATCTATCTATACTTATTTCAATGGTCCTGAATAAAGTCGGCTTAACCATCTCTAACAAGTGTCATGAATAACTTTTTCTTTAATGCATGCTCTATGTCCCAACTAAGTCTAAGATAAAATTCAGGGATCTTAACATCAAATGCATGTTCAAACTTCAAATACAGTAAATTCTTTGTATCCATGGTATTTTTCATAAAGTCCCTTAATTTGGACTAAGTTATTATGAGTTCCCTAAAAGGTGCAACTTATTTTCACAGAAAAAAATTTTTTTCCCTTTGTATAGTGAAAGGTAATCCCACCCCCCCCCCCGCCCCATCTTACCAACCTTTTTAGGAATCCTTCCTGAGCATCTTGCTGGCCTTGAGCCTCATTTTTTCCCCAATGCCTAAGTACTGGACTAACACTTGGTAAGAATTTGGCTCTGGGGAGTGCTATGTTGAGTGACAAATGGATGAGGATGAAGGTTTTATTGAAGCATCTGAACCGCATTTAATTTTCCGTGTTGCTTTATTTGTTCCTTCTGGCCCTCAGGATATTGAATTTTGTGGGCTCCGGTTGTGTCGTTGGTACTTCAGGCGTTTAGTAATAAGAAACATAATCTGTTTTTCCCGTTAGGATAATATCCTCATTTTTATTAAGGGCGACTTACTACGAACTGTTTCACACTGTTTTTCTAAACCTCCAGAACAGACCAATTTTCCCTTTGAGCCCTGGGTGTTGCTTCGGCGGCCTCTGCTGACCTCCGGACTTGGCAACCTGCAGCCTACCCCGCAGGAATCAAGCCTGATCCAGTGTGGCCTTGCGCGCCACCGCCTCACCAGACCCTCGCTCCCGCTTTCCTCCCACCGTCCTAGATGCAGCTTCCATCCTGCTGCCTCAGCTGTCTGCGACAGCGACACCCCCTCCTCCCCTCCGCGGCTCCCCCCGCCAGCTCGCCGCGCCAGACAGCGGGTAACCGCCGCCTCCGCTGGGGCATCCCGGCTCCACAGGCCTAGCGCGCTCCAGACACCTGCCTCTCACTGGCCACCGAAGCTGCCCCTCAGCCCGCAGCCCCCTCGGTAATTGGCCCTAGGCCGTCCCTCGTCATCCTCGGCCTCGCCGCGAGTCCCGCCTCCGTCGCCGGGTCATTTAAGTTTATCACAAATAAATAAATAAAGGAGGAAATAGAAATGCGTAGAAAGTAAAAGCAGTCGGGAGGGGGCGGGGGTGTGGAAGAAAAGAGGAGGAGGAGCGGAGGAGTAGACAACCAAACCTGATCGTGTCGGTGCTGACCAATCATGGCTCACTCCAATCCGGTCTGACGGGCTCTCTCAACCAATAGCCTTCTATCTTTCGGATCACTGAACAACGAGATACGATTGACCTCTCCAGAGTGGGCGAAGGTGCGGCAGAGGTGGGGGAGTGGGAAGACTGTCGACCAATCGCCTCTTAACAATTCTCTGAGCGAAGTTTCCGTTCCCCAATGGGGGCTTGAGATAGCGGATTGGGCCTTTTCTAGCCCAATCGAAGGTGGTAGAGATGAGGAAAGAAGCAGATTGGGGCGGGGACAGGAGAGAGGAGGAGGAAGAGTGCATTTTGTTTATGGGCGGCAACCTCACGAGGGGCGTCCCACTCTTATTGGCTCACTGAAGTCAAGAGTGGCATAAGAACAACCCAATAACGGAAAGCGATAGAGGGTTCGCGGTGCGAGGCACCCAATGTGGGCCTTCTGCCGAAGAAGTAGGGGCGGGGGGAAGTTTAGGAGTTGAGGAAAGAAGATTAAAGAGCGCGAGGAGGTAACCCCAAAAACTCTAATTTGTTGTGGGGAGGGAGGGAGGGGTGTGTGCGTGCGAGAGGGATGAGGCGTATGCGAGGCACTGGAGTTGGGGGCCATGGGACGGGAAAGGAGGGGACTGGGGTGGGGTTGAGGGAGCGAGTTAGAGTGGCGAGCCCGCGGGCCGCTGGCTGGCCGAGCGCGCGCGCCCCCGCGCCCCGCCCCGCCCGCGCCCCTTCCCCCTGGGCGCCCCTCCTCGCGCCGGGCGGCGGCTGCGGCCTCGCACGACCCCGGGGAGGGAGGGAGCTCGGGAGGGTCCCGGGTCCCCGGAGGGGGCGGGCCGTCCCGCAGCTGGAAACGTATCTTCTGCCTTCTTTTCTCTACTCCCTGCGCCTGGAGTTGCCGCTTCCAAGAAGAGGAGCTGAGGGGGACTAGCCGGGGCTCAGGAGCTGCTAGAGGCGCCGGCTTGTCTTCCGCCCCCTCCCTCCTCGCCCTCCCCCGCTTGCCGTGGCTCTCGCGGTCTCTGGAGCGTCTTCAGAGAACGGGGGGGGGGCGGGAGGTGTCCTGGCCCCAGAGCCGCTGGACGCCCCTCCAGACACCGAAGCTACCGGCCCCCGCCCGCTTCGCTGCTGCGACTCTAGAGGAGGGGGCTTGGGAAGGGAAGACACACCTTTCCTTCTTTCCTCCTTTGGGCCCCTTTGGAAACATTAAAAAATGTTTAAGCTTTTCGATAGCTAAGATAGAACGGTTGGAAGCTTTTTGAAAGTTTAAAAGAAACGCACTCTCCTACGTTTAATGTATTACTACTGTTTGTGTGGCTTTCTGGTCCTCTTCCACCACCCACTCCACGGCCCCCCGCACTCCCTCTTCCCCGCCCCCTCCCCGCACCACTCCCCCCGCAGCTGTTACCCTTTTTGAGGATGCTGAAGAGGCAGGAGGCAGGGATTTTCTAAAAGTTCTATTGATAAACACACTTGCACAAACATATGCTAGGCACACGCATAAACTATAAACATTAGCGAAAAACACAATATGGCGTACAGCTACACTACCTAGTGCGGTAATCCGCTGATCTCAACACTGAACCCAGTTGAATGAGGTCACTAGCAGGATGACAGTTCTTGAATAAAAATCTCAATGAAACAGGAAGTAATTTTGGAAGCCTGTGGGTTAAATAACACCTTCAGAATCAGCATTGGCCTAAGCTAAGTTGAGCACGTTAACTTTTAAGACGTGTGAAACTTGTCTTCACTACTTCTAGCCATTAAAAATACCAACATGAACCTAAAGGCGAGAGTTTTTCACTGCGTGGTCCTGTGTTAAGTTTCAGCTAATAAAATTAGCAGAGGCCACTTATCCCCACATGTTTTCAAGCCAGTTCTATCCTAAAGTTACTATCGGAACTTGTTGCTATCGAAAGTTTTAAAACAAATTGTAACGACCATTTTGTTAATAAATTCCATAGCTGTAAACACTACATTTAAATGATAAGCAGTAACGTTAGCAAATTCAGTTCATAAAAGGTTTACCTTCTTACCTCTTGCTCCTAATCCCAGATACTATTTGCTGTCACATGAGAATAGTTAAACTATACCCTCCACTGCCCCTCATATAAGTTTGACCAGTCCAGATTTGGGTACTTTGTGCATTTCAGCTTTACATGTAGGTATTTCTATATTTTAGGAAAAGAAAAAAAAAAACAATTTACATTGATTTTTCAAGTCTTTACTCTTCTTCTTAATCAGAGTGTATCAAAGTTGATGCACAAATAGTGCATGGTGATACCACTGTGCCCTCTTGGGAATGGTCTTTCTCAAAAAAGCTTTTGGATTTGCCCTTGAAGAATTGCGGATGTTACTCATTGTTCAGTGCTCAAGGTTTAATTCCTAAGATTGTGGTTGTGATTTCCATTGAGCTCAATTTTGAAGGGATTTAGGCTTAAGAATATATGGTGCTCAAGTAAACAGGTGAGAGGAAGAAGAAAAGTGAATTTTCTAGAAATATATTAGCTGCTCAGTGAGTCCAGCAGTTGGGTATTTTTGGTTTTGTGATTTCAGATCTCACAGACCAGTGGAATACATGCCTTTTGCATATGAAGATCAGGTGACAAGTTAACTGTGTACCAGCCTCCAAAGCAATACGCCCTTTCATGGTGAGGTCCCGATTTTAACAGACTAAAGAAAACAGTTTAAGATTAAAAAGTTGTCAAATTTTATCCATTTTTGGGAAGAAGTCTTTATGCTTATCTCTCTAGTTCAATTAAGATGCCAGTATTTTAAGATTACTACTACAGCAAGAAAATACAGAGATAGTTCATGTGTATACTCACTAGCTACTAAAAGACTATATGAGTTTAGAGAAAAGAAACTTCTGTGTGGAAGTTATAGTTCTGGGGGGTATGTTTAGAACTACTAGATGTGATGCCAGTTTACTATGTAGTTAGTTCAGAAAGTTTTAGTGACCCACGGATATCCAACTAATCTTGTCAAATTAATATGAATTTGACTACTTGGTATAGGAATAAAAATCTAAGGAAAAAGCCATTTTAAATGAATTATTTTTATCTCAGTAGTGAAGATCTGACGAGGAATTTCTAACCAATTGGACTTCCCAGAAAAAAAGGCTTGACTGAATAATTAGGTCAATTTAGAAGAGCAATAAAAGATACAACTTAGTTACTGTAAAAGATCTAAAATTTATGAGTGAATTATAAATTATTTCAAATATTTTAGAATGAGTGACAAAGAGAGACTTCTTTAAAACATTTGGAATACAGAAGTGGAGCTTGATGGGCTCTGCTTTATTATCTGAAATAATCATGCTTTTCTGAAATGGATGTTTAAATTCATGAAATTGTTCTAGACACTTGGGATGTAACAGTGAACAAGGGATAAAATAACCTGCCTTTGTGGAGTTTATGTTCTAATGTCACGTATAGTTTGCATACTTCAGATTGCTAGGAGAAAAGATTTTTGTATAAAATTTTAAAACCTAGCAGTTTTTTTCATTTTAGAGAGTACAATTTGAAAGAATTTACAGAAGTTTGAGGAGGAGCGGGGAGGTGTTTACTAATTGCCAACGATAAGAAAGGAAGAGCTAACTTTATTTATACCCTTTGTTATTGTCATGAAACATTCTCCATATATTTCAGTAGGTCTTTTTAACTGATAGGTTTTATTTTTTTTTCATAATTTTAAGCATGCTTTTGAAATAAATAAAATGTTACTTTATATTAAAAAAAATCTGTGTCTTGGAATTTACTGTAAAATTCCGATGGAGCTTTTTGTCTTGTTAGCAAATTGTGGTAAAACATAAGCTAGAATATCTTAATTTTTTAGTAAGAATTTGTTTTAGGAGTATGTCTGAAAAATTAAGTGCCTAAATCTTTTTCAGTTGTGGTTTTTTTCAAGAGAAGATGGAAATTTGTTGTAATTAATTTATAGGTAACATTAAAGAGAAAAAGAGAGAGGCCTGCAAAAAATGCTTTTGTTATTTAAACCTTTCTTTCAAACTACAAAAGCATTTGATTGGCACTTCTCTGATTTAATAGACCATTTGTAATGCAAGAGGAACATTACAGAAGATTTTAGCATTACTTTAATCATTCAGTCTGTAGGTGTAAAAATCCTAGGTTTCTAACAGAAGGAAACTTGGTACTTGGTTAACGGAGTATATGATTCAACGCTGAGTTTGTTGCTTTAAGTAGTGGGTGTCTCACCTTTCCAAAACCTAGTTCATAGTTCTCAAATAACAAGTTCTGATTTTCGTTATTTTTCTCTGTCACAGTGAGTCTTAATTTGTTAGCCAAATTGGTGTTCAGTTCTGAAGTAGGATAACTTTTTTTTTTTTTACACACAATTCTCCCACCGCCAGTCCTCCCATCCCCTGCTGCGAAGGGTTTGAATTTCTATACTTACATTAGATCTCTATTTATGCTAATTTGTAGCATAATCACCTCTTCCAGAAAGGGTACTGTATTAATGCACTTTAGAGAACAGTCGAGGTTGCTTCTGGCTATTTGTATACAGACCTGCCAGCGTCTGAAAGCTATAAATAGGAAGATTTAGGAAGAAAAGCAGAGACTATAACAAATGGAATATATTGTCTTAGATGAAATCTTTTTTTAAACAGCAAAGTGGAAGAATGGTTGCTAGAATGTTAAAAACGAAGAGCTTTTCCTAATTCTAATGGGTGATTAATGTGTGTATATGTGTATGTGAGTATACATTTTTATATGAGCATTTTTGAATAAAGACATATTTCAGTATTGGATAAATAATTTCAGTCCTGCCTTGTGGTCCTTAACATGTTCCCAGGTGATTTTGTTTAGCTCACTGTTCCTTACCAGAACTTTGCTCTAAGCAACATAGAAACATAAGCTAATTAAATCTTTGTAAATTTTGTAATAATTTTGGATTAAAAGTTATTGGAAGTTTTTTTTTTTTGAAGTATGATTAGCAAGCAGCCCCTGAAATGAATGAAAACTAAAGTGAAGAGCTCTTAGAACCCTGTTTCCACATAAGACAGTTGAAACTTTGGAAAAGGGGTATTCATAGGGTAAAAGACAAATCTTGTTATCTGTCAGATTTTTATAGTAATAAAATAAGCAATAAAATAAAATGACTATTAATATTCATATTTTTAAGGTAAGTGTAAGTATGTGTACACTGCATTTTAAATAAAAATTTGGGGTGTTATTGGCTAGACACAGTCATTTCTTTGCCAGAGATACTAGGCTGTGTGAAGGCTAACCATCTGTCAAGTGATAGAGACAAAGAAAGGTTTAATATACTAGTCTAAAATTTCTACAAACTTGTTTTGAATTGTATTGTCATTTTGTTTTAGCCTTCGTCCTCTGTGTTGAATATGTACTGGGTCAGTCACCCCACTTTGTTTTATGAACAAACTATTAAAGGTCTAGGTAAGGTTATCATCGCAGCTGATGTGATCCAGAGGCATGATAAAATATGTTTTGATTTTGCTTTCATGTGATGATCAAAAACTCACAAGTGGGCCACCCACTAGCAGTTGTACAAATGACTTCAAGCACACTTATTTTCACCCACCCATTCTGAATTTTGGGTGTCTTAACTCTTTTATATATTCAAGCCTTGTGTTTCAAACCCATTCCTGAGCTGTTTGGGGGTGGGGGTGGGGGGGAAGTAGCAATAGGAATCCAGATTGCCTGTTTTAGGTACAATATGGTGTGATGTGAAATTGAAACAGCAGATTGGTGAGAAACTTAGTTTCAAACAAATATAAACTAGTTTGTTTAGTGAAGTCATACACAAAACAGTAGTCTTTATTGACAGGGCAGTGTTTTTTTCCATACCCTCCACATCATGAGGTTATGGTGGTTCTTTGGGCCAGCAGTCTATTTCCAAAGCATCATATAGGAAAAAGAAGCCCTAATGTTGCTGATTGTAATGATATACTTAAATATAGCAGACCAAGGAATTATTTATAGCAGTGCTAATTATATCAATAAAAATAGCAATATTAATACTGTGAGTGTCAAAATCCATTCTTGACAGTATGAGGTAAATGGAACTATAGTCAAACAAAGCAGCCAGCCTGTTTCTACTGTCAGCTCATGAATATGCACTTCAGGAAAAATATACACAATTGGTTTACTGATTTAATCTCTTTTTCAATTACTTTTGACTTTTTAAATTATTTCTAATTCAGACAATATTAAAAAGATTTAGATTTTTAGTTTTGAAATTCTTGGTACCATTTTCTTACTGTCATTAGTAAGTTTCTAGAGGCTTATGTATTCATAGTTAAGTACTTTATAATTAATTATCAGAAATTAATTTTATATGTATCCCCATTTTTGGAATACAGATTACCATTGCACTGGGAAATTGGAAGAACCTCTAACAATTTACAAAACCAAACAATACAAAACAAACCTACGACTACCATACATGCACACACAACTAATAAATCTCTGGCTTTATTTAGACATTAAAAAATATCTGTTTCCATGTTTCTGATTTAGGGAAAAGCATAAATTTTATTTGTAGTTTTCATTACTTCCCATCAGTTTTTACAATTTTATGTTATTTAAAACTTATTTTCCTAGGAATACAAAATCATGTAAGTAGAAGTTCCAGGCTGGGCATGTCATATAATCTGAATCTCTGCCTTCTTCATCTTCAGGGTCTCTTTCAGCTCTGATAATTTGAGTATGTTTCTTTTGACACTTGGATCCTTATTTTAGCTTTAGGTAACATGACTGGAAGTGATATGTAAGGCACTGGAAAAGATCATATGTAAAATATTTGACTTTGCTTTTTGCTTTTAGTCCTTGATACAAGTTTCATTTTAGTGATACTTGCTTTCAAATATAGCATATCTGTATAAGTATAGATACATAAAAATTAAGTACTTATAATCTTTTGTAGTTCATAACTGTAATAAACTTACTATTTTTCATAAATTTTTCACGAACTCATTTTCACTCATGAAGATATGTTGCTAACAGAATTTATAAACAGGATTCCTTGCATTTTATTCCACGTGAGTTGCATAACTGGAGAAAGTGGGTAATAAGAGAATGGATTAACTCAGAGTCATTTTCTAATTCTATAAAATAGAGAAATAGATCTATTCTTCAAAGAAAAAAGATAAACTTGGTTTTTGTGCTTCTCCAAGCAAAAAATATACTCTGAGTAATCAGGAGCCATTATCATTTTTAACTACTGCATTTGATTTTTGATCCTACATTATACCTATCCAGGTATAGATTTACATAGAAAGGATGCAAGGGAGACAAAGTTGACTCTTATTTGATGAAGAAAAGTGGAAAGAATCTGTGTTAGAAAAGACCTTGCAAATACTGTGATATCATATATAGAAACAAACAGCCATATGCAATTCATATGTACCTACTTGTAGGTACTTATTTAATGATAACCTCAAAGTTTTCATTTAAAATTTCACTCTCAGTTTCTTTTTAACTGACTCACATTTCTTTTGCTCGTATGAATGGTAGCGAGAGGCTCACAAACATCACATACTTTACCTATTCACAAATGAAAACAGCAGCTGGAGAAAGCTATACAATTCCTGGATCCTTCCTCTTACCTATACCCACCCATAGCTGTAGATATTCTGGTACTAATTACAAACATTTTATAAATCTCC